GCTGTTTTGTTGGTGTCAACACAGGCTTGAAATGCCTGATCCTTCACACTCCACAAATCCTATGCAGTGACAAAATCAACTCTAATATCTAAATGGCAGCAGTTAACGTCTCCCATTGGCTGTTTCTGGAACCTGAAGAGAAGCAGCATTTCCAGAGCACAACTCACATTGTGGATGGGCAAAGTCACCTTCTGAGGGTGTCCATGTTTCTCAACCAACCAGGACAACAAGGCTCTTCATGCAGGTACCCTGAAAGACATGCATCCTCACCCAGCAGGAACCCATTTGTGATTCCCATGGTCTAGGCTCCAGGTGAGGGACAGGAGGATAGCAGTAACAGCACTCGGTGTCGCACAATTTCCAGCTTCTCTTCAGCCTACACTGTTTAGCATCTGGAACATCTAATAATTATTATTAATTGCACTTAACTGCAAACTGTAAAATAGATGTGATGAATGCACAAACAGAACTCTGGCACACCTGCAGCTTAGCTCTGGCTCTTCACTTGGGTTCAGTTTTATCATGCAAAGTTTGACCCATCTGTTATATATGTGCTACAATCAAGCTTTGCAAAACCCGTCAACCTGCAAGCCTTGGCAACGAAACCAGCCCAAGAGATGTAAGCGGCAATCTGAGAAGATACTCCCTAGGAATCAGATTTTGTAAACAAACATTTCAGCTAATTGCATTCTTGTTCTCAGTGCAATGAAGGTCCCATTTAGCCAAAGCATTTGTCTACAGAGTTTAGTTTCTTCCATTTAATGAACGTTGATCCTGTCTTAGCCTCTGCTGGTATATCATCAGGATCAACATGAAATGCTAATGGAGAAAGATGCTTAATATCATTTCAAGTGTTTAAGTTACAACTGCAGCTATTAAAGCAAATCCATTTTACCTGTTCCTCCACTGGCTCCCCACTGAGACAGATTTAAAAATTTCCATGGGGAGAAGTGATTCATAATGGCTACACAGATGAGAGAAAAAGCCTTTCACCATTAATTACAGCCAGCATTTTCCAAACCCAAGCTGGTCATTTCGCCGGCACAACACATAATTAAGCAAGGCTCATTTTATTTTGTTGCCTTCACAGATTAGTTCACTTTGTAAAAAGCAAGGTAGCTGCCTCCAGCAGTAGGGATAACTATGCCAACCAGAGAGAAAAATAAGGCTTTGTCATCTGCTTGCAGTCCACGGCAGAAAAATCCAACAGATCCCCCAGTTTTCAGTCCCCTTGCTGGTTCAATGCAGAAATTAGTGTTGCTCCCTGTGGCATCCCAAACATGAGATCCTGTGGTGTACCCATGTAAGGCAATCACCATAGTCCCATGAATTTAGACCTTGGCAGTCAGAAAAACTTCCTCAATTTATAACTTTCCAACTGCAAAGTCAAAGTGCAGGACATGCAATACTCAGAGCAGTGAGGAGGAGGAGGATGTTTCCTGCCCCTCATCCCTGTAGAGTGACTGGAGTGGGCCCAGCCCCAGTGGCATCCATAGTAGCCTCGCAGTCTGTGCTTTGGGGACATCACAGAAATAGCAGGAGGGGATGATGCATTCACCTGAACTTCACTTGCCCAGAGAAGTGAAACCTTTTCAGAAACCACGTGAATTTTAAAGCAGGACTGTTTGTTTCTTTCCTCCCGTGGCTCAGTCTGCCCCTCAACCTCTTTGAGGAGAAACTTTTCCACAGCAGAGGCTCTTGGTATATGTGCCTGACAGGGTCTCAGTTTTGAACTAGGCACCCAAAACACTGGTTGAAGCCCCCCAATGCTTGTGAGGCACAGCATGCTGCTGGCAGCTATCGTCAGAAACACTAGAGTTATCCTCATGCAGATTTTAAAAGGCCACTATTTATGCATGTAAATTCTGAAGGGCATTAGCGGCATCACTGACACACACTGACAGCCAGCCCAGCTCCGGGAAGGGAATAAGCAGCAGCAACTGCCTGAATAATTGATGTGCTTTTACTCTGCCCCATGGCCCAGTTATTACATTGCTCACTCCCTTCAACTGCCTGTGGTTTCTAAATTAATTAGAAATCTTAATGTCATGGCCAGCCAGTTAAAAAAAAAAAAAGAGACACTGAGAACAAAAGAAGAGAGTGCTTCTCATGCCCTTGAGCCTTGGGATCTCTTCCTTCAGTCTGGCCATGCAGGGAATAAAAACGCAGTCTCAATTTCTGAAGCACTGGACCCCGCACACTGATGCCAACAGCAGCACAGCATGAAACCCACTCAATCTGCACAAAGCCCCCACTGCATGGGGCTGAACACCCCCATCAAGGTCACTGCTCCCATAAGTTGGGGCATAGCCTTTCCTATGGGCTGACTCATGCGCATAGCAGCTACAGTCTCTCAACACAGTGAAAAACATCTGACACGATGTCCCTAGCCCGGCCACTGCAACCCAGTCCTATGCAGCACCAAAGAAAAGGATGGCACTGCAGTCTGGAGCAGTGAAAGAGCTCATGGTTGCTCTGTTCATACAGCTGACAGAGCGAAATGACTCTGTGGGATCCTGTTCATGGGATGAAAAAAAAAAATGTGTGCAACCTGACCTCACGAGAACAGGAGATCAAATACAAAATGAGTGGCCATGTTTTTGCTATATATATACCTTTATCTGCTTACAATATTGGTTATGCTTAAACTTTAAAACAATATCTATAGCTATCAAGAGACCCAGTGGGAATAATTCTCATGTTTGAGCCACATTGAAAAAGCACAGGTAGTTGTGCTTCAAGGCCTTTTAAAGCACTTAGTCATGAAGAATCTTGGGATGTTTTTAACCTCCTTGAAAAAAGAAATACTGGGGTTTTTTAAATCTCTTTACAACAGTATCAAAAGCATAAATACACAGAAATTACTGAATGTGTAAAGATAATTTTAAATTGCACAGATAACTTAGACTAATATTTCACCTTCTTATAAAAAAACAGTGAAATACCAGTGAAACTCAACAGTGTGGCACAGTCTTGCTCTCTGCCAACGCATTATGTCATACTGTAATCTGCAAGATCTTGAGATAGAGAAAGGTATAAACCACCACCTTTCCATTATTCCTCTTCAGAAATTCATTATTTTAAAGAAATCTGATTTTCCAGTCTTTACTTTTGACAAGGATAAACCGACATACTCAGAGCACTGAACTGTCTGACTCCCCACTAAAGTTATTTCACATCTCCCGTACATGTTAAGTGCCCAAACATGACAGCCCCACAGCAGTGATGGCAATCACCACAGCTGGTGATGGCGACAGAGAGCTATACGGAGTTTTAAATGGCACTGTAAATCCTAATAGAAGTATCCAACAAAATGAATCCCATTTGTTAGCACATGAAAGGTAGTTCACAACACTGTGAGCCGAAACTACAGGAGAACGTGGTTATCTAAAACTTTAATGCACTTTGATCAAGCGTTTATTTGCTCAGAGAGCTTCTTCCTCTGTCTGCTATTTTTCCTCTCCTGCCATAACTTTGCATTTAAACTGATGTGTGCAGAGACCACCACGAGAAAAATACAGAAGGTTCCGCTCAAGTTGCAAGTTTAGGCCCTTTCAGTGTTTTTCAACAGGTTTCTTGAGATGACACTTCCATTTGTAGGGTGGGAAGATGGACTTTCAGCAAATTTTAACACTCATACATGAAGAAGGCAGAATTGTTCCATCCTATGATTTGTTTGCATTTGTCATCTTGGCTTCATACTGCCTCTAAAACGCACATGCTAATTATTGGCAGAATGGCACTGCAGATGTAGTGAACACAAGATGTCACTCACATGCATTTTTCAAACCCAAGCAATGAAATAAAGCATCTCGTAAGAACATGTCACGTGTTCCTACGGAAACTTTCCTGACCCTGGCAACATCTGCTATCTCTCTGCCTCTTCACATCCATGTTTTTAAATATCACTATGCTTGCTTTGCTATACTCAAATGTACAGACCTTCACATTACATATAATCTTTTGCTCTTCATACTGTGGTATGTACATACATCTCTTCTCACTCTGAAGTTATTACATTAATTAATATAAAAATTTACTGAAAGGCTCAGCTCATGTCAACTCCTCTAGCTTAACCATAGTAACAATGAAGCCCTACACAGGCTTTAAAGCAGAGGTGGGTTCCTGATTCCTCTTCTGGATTACCATACAGATGAAAGGATGCACCAGCTGAAGCAAGACTGCCACTACTCAATGTGGCCAAGCCCTTCTTGTCCAGCTTTTACATCACTTATCTCCAGCAAAGAGCAAAGTGCAAAACCACACGGGGTCCTATAGGGGTGGCTCCCCTTTCAGCCTTGGAAAGAAGGTAGAAGGTGGTACAGGACACAGCAGCAGTATGGAGCAGCACAGGTTTCCTCACTGCTTTTTGGAGCCTAGTCTTTCAAGACGCAGCCCCTGGCAAAGTGTCTCATGAAAGTTTGATGAAAAGCATTTTGTTTAACACCAGCAACTGAGCTACAGCCCTGTCGAGCTGCGTTGCCCAAACAAAATGTCACAACCCAAGAGGATCAAGAAACTCAATTGCAAGAGGCAGGCTTACAGGCAGCACAGGAGCTCACAACCTCTGGAGCAGGGGGCACTGCCCCACAAGTTACTCGGTCACTGAAACATGAGGAGGCTGCTGTAACACTGATGAACACTGAGCCTCCTTCAATACTTGCCCAGCACGCTGCAAGGCTGCACTAGGCAGCCTTGCAAATACTCAGAAGTCCACAGCCCTCTTTTACCCTTTTCACTTCTACATGCACCGAAAAAATCCACACTGTGCTCTTCCCTAACATTCACTTCAGCATTTTCATGCTCTGCTGCTTTTGTTCCCCCGTTCCCTTTACATAAAGGAATATTCTCAAGAAACAACTGCACCTGCATAACTGAATATACACAAAACCCATATGCAGAGACAGTGCTGTGGGCTCATGGAACATGACCAAGTCTAAATATTTTAGCACAGCAAACAAATGAGGCAATGAGGCTAGACTATATGGTCCAGTAATTACCTTTTCTTGTTCTTCAGGTGCTAGAAATCCACACGCTATTTTTTGCAGAGTACCGTATTCAACATTGCTGGAAAAAAAGAGAAAAAGAAACAAATTTAAAATGTTTATATTTGCCTCTGAGGACTTATTAGGCACTCATGAACTTTCTCCTGTACATTCACCAGACGATTCATCAATGAACAACTGGTTTTGGTCAACAGAGCTGATTTTGAAAAGCCTGTAAGAATCTTTAATCTCTATGAAACACATTTCTGTATGGGAAGACAGTACTAACACATAACCAACAATGCCTGGATGAAAAACCAGTGGACAGTATCACTACCAATAATAAAAAAAACCCCCTAAAGATACAACTAGTTATCAAACACACATGAGGTATATGAGTATCTCTTCACCGTAACAGACTCCAATGTGATCTAGATAAACTATTGTTATGCTAGAGGATTTATCAGTGATTTTTAGAAGTTGCTGCATCAGAATAATAAAGAAATATCTAGTTTGAAAGAAGAGAAGGTAAAATAAATTATGATTGCAAGGATAATAATTCCTGTTCCTCAGTAGTTTACAACTTAAAATTCCTCTGTCCCTTTACATCTTCAGTATTTTCTTCTAATTATAGTGTTAGATGCTAAATGTAACATTAATTGACAAAACCATGAAATGGATGGATCCAGGTCAGCCTCCTGAAAATGTTGGTTTTATTAGGATTAATTACACATGAAAAATTGCTCCTCACAGTTGAGATTGCTACAGAGGAAACTTCAGTGAGAATCAGCCTTGTCAGAGTCAGGCTGGGTGGTACAGGACTCCAGGACCTTATCCCATCCCAATGAAACTATTAGAAAACAAAATTAAAAACCCATGCAAGGGAAACGGCAATGACTCCTCCTGCCTAAAATTTTACTTCCTACATTAACTATAAGTCCAGCTCATTTTCTGCAACCTGTAGGGGACGACACAGGTCACTTGATTTTTAAGTAGTGTATTAAAATGAAAAAAACTTTAAAGATTGACTAAAATAGGATCCAGTGTTAAACTGGGGCCAGTTATTCCAATTGCAGCAGTGGGTCCCCAAGCCTTTCCCAACCAGGGCTGTAGCACAGCTTTCACCCTGCTGCCATGGTCTCACACACTGGACCATCCTACACCTTAAAAAAGTTGCAGACTAAGAAATGGTCCTAGGGCTCCATTTTCACATCTTACCTAATCCAGAATGGTCTTACTTTAATTTTCAATGGCAAAAAAGGGAAGTTGCACCCCAACTCTAAGCACTCCTTGGTAGGTACTTCCCTGAGAGTATGAGAAGAAGGACATAGAGGCATCGGTCTCTAACACATAATTCATATTATTTACGTACTAAAGAAGCAATTGCTTGCATTCAGTAACCTTGGAAGTCAGACAAGTAAATTAAAACTTAAAACAAGGCTTGAGAGTCCAGCATTCATGCTGCTTTTCAAGTGATTTCTCTGTAATAGGCAAGTATGGATATTCTGGAGGAAAAAGAGATCTATTCCAGGTTGCCTGTCAGCAAAATTGCTGCTGTAAGCAATAAACAGATTTCGGATCATCTAAGAAATTTACAGGCAAACTCAGGGTAAGACCAGCTATTACTTCTCCCCATATAAGTGAAAAAGTCTCTATATGTAAAGACTATACCCATTTTCAGCCTTGGATTTTGATCATATATATATACAGTTTCAGTAGGAAAAAAACACTTTTACAAGTGTAGAGCAGACCAGGCAACACCTCATAAGGGCATCCATATACATTAATTCTAGGAAAAATGCCACTTGTTTAGACTACGCCACTTGTGTTTTATAGCAAAACCTTCACTTGGTTCCAAGAAGCTTTTGGAGAATAATTCTCATGCAATCGAAGCAGTACAGAGCAGAGAAATTGTAGTTTGCCTAGTTTGAAGAAGTTAATGTTTGTTACCCCATTACCTTACAATGGTTTTTTAAATGAAATTAAAACAAGATCTTTGTTTCATTTATGATACCTTACATTTAACTTCTGCTTGGAGCGTAAAGGGCTAGAGATAGCACAACATACAGTGGTTTATGGATCTTCCGTGTCATTTTAGGATTCAGTACGTGCTCTCCTCCCAGCTCAACTTTATTTTATCATAATGTGAGTGTACTGACTGGTAAATTTTTCTTGCCTTCCCTTCCCAAATGCCAAATGTATAACCTTGAGTTGGCCTCTGCCATGTGCTATTGCTATGCAGATTTCAAATGCAGATTGGGGAATTCTTGTTCTTATTAAAATAAGAAGGGAACTATACAGGGATTCCTGCAGAGCAAAGATCTTGCAAAATACTTGCTAGAGAGTCGGTGCTCAATGCCAGTGGGTGCACTGCAGGAACTGCAGGGATTTGGTATTAGCCCCAAAAGAGAGAATAAACACACTAAAGAAAAAGACATTGCTTTATCTCTGACACCTACTAACACTCACAGTAGTACAACACCTGCCCTGTGAGCAAGGGAATCTTGTTTTGATCTTGTTTTACTACTTTCCACACCACTCAACTAACCTGCTCCCCCCACAAATCTACAGTACTTCTCAGAAAGCATTTGTTTCTTCCCAAGTTCTTCCCCAGTCATACTTTGCCTGGACTTTGCCTGGACAATTTGGTTAAGTGGCTTCTCTCCCTTGCTTCATCCTGTATTACCCTGGAGTTCTACCTGCCAAGATTACTGCTCAGTGAGTAATGTAGATACTTCAACATAGCCCACTCTTACTAACATGGTTTCTGGTGTTCATGTGGCTAAATATTCCTAAATCCTCTGCTATGGTGAGTAATGTGTCCACCCAGGTAGGGCAAGGGCATATTGTTCTGCATCACTAGATGCCACAAGAAGGGCAATTAATCTGCAAACTGGCATGCTGCTGCACCTTCATCCCAAACGAGAAGCTACTAATAAGGAGAGCAACAATAAACACTTTCTGTCTGGCAACAGCAAAGGCTGGGAAGAGAATCCATCAAGATGGGATGGCTCACCCTCAAGCAGCTGTCTTCACTACAAAAAGCCAAGCAATACAATTTCAGTTGTAAACACTCACAACAAAGGGACCCACAAAAAAGCACATGAAGTTTTAGGTAACCTTCTGAAAAAGCCTTGTTTGTTAAAATGTACCAAGCACCTCACTTCTGACTCTGTTGAAGCAGAGGAGTGAGCACCCAGCCTCGTGCTTTTGGAGATGAATACCCATGTGGAGCAGCACTGCATTGCTCCCAGATATTAGCATCTCTGCATCAGCCTGATGAAACCAAATCAGCAACTTTCACCTACAGTGACTTAATTAACATGCACTCTACAGATTTCTCCAAATCCTCCACACTGCCATCCTCCATTGCCACGCTCTTTTGATGAAAGTGATTAAAGCTAACAATTATAATTTCTGTTAGAGATGTCCCTAGAGGCTTCGGCAAGGCTCAGACTTCATTGTTCACAGAACACAATGCAAAGAAATCTCTCTCCTGAAGAGCTCATCCTCCAAAAAGACAAAGAAATCAAGGAATAGCAGGAAGACATGAAGACAAAAAAATTATTGCTCAAGGTCAAACAGCAGGTCTCTGACAGAGCTAGAAGAAAACCCTACTTCTCTAGAGCACTCCTGAGACTGTGATGACTCTCCAATACTAAGCTGTTCAACTAATATACTTTATTTACCAAGTGTCAAGAGCAGGTGAAACAGTTCACAGTGTTACTTGCTGTTCCGTTTTTGATCATGTCTTCTTGTGGTGACTCTCCAAGCAAAGCTAACCATGACAGCAAAAGAGTTACTTTCCCTTCACCTTCCGAAAAAATGCTTCCCATACTTTTCCGTGCAGATTACTGACAAATCAATCCCCTTTAATTTTTTTATTCTTCCATCAATGCTTTCAACAAAGAGTGATTGCTCAAGCACCCTTCTCAACCTTGCACTTCCAATTTTTTAAAGAATGGTCAATCTCAGTATGCTTAATTATAATTGCAAATGGATCGTTTTATCTTGTACTCTTCTGTTTTAATGGGATTATGTATCATCAAATCTCTACAGTAGCATTTAAAATAAAAATCTCCTACGTCATTCATATGTGTTTTAGATATTTAAAACATTAATATGCAACCTGTGATATTACAAAAGGTTAGATTTCTAACTCCCTGGCCCAGTTATGACACCATAAATCTGATTTAATTTTCACTGATTACTAGAAAAATCTTTCCAAGGCAGTATAACTGTAATTTGATAAAATTTCTTGACAGACAATTCATCAGGAAGAGAGTGGTTCTGTTGTGCTTTGTACAGTGACAGCACAAAGTATGAGTGTGCAAAGAGAGTGAAGCTTTTAGTCTTTGCAAACAACTTCAGTGCATAAAATATTAAAAGCATTGCTAAACTAATCTCTGGCAAGAACTGCAAGCAATTCACTACAACTCATATTACGAATGCCTTTGGTTTACCATTTAAAAAACATTAGAGTCTACCATTATGGTTGTGTATCACAGTGCTATACATTAACCTCTGCAATCTTCCAACACGGTGTATTGCAGTAACAGAAATTAGGCTATCTGGCAAAAAAAGCTTAAAAAGACGCAATATTTAAAGAGAGCAGACAGAAAAGCTCCTCACTCCTTCCTGCCAAAGACAGCAGGAGAAAGTCCAGTCCTCTTTTCCTCAAAGCAAATGGTAAAATCCCATTAATTTCCCCTGGAACTGACAGATCCGCAGCATCTGGGAAAGGATTCAGTCTAAATACATTGCAGACATAACAGATGAATGATTTGGGGGAGAGGGGTCGCCTGCTCTCATTTTAACACTTCTGTGTAACAGGAACAGAGCAGGTCATTTCTGTAAGCTTGAAAATGCTTTGTGAGCTTTCAGTAGGATTTTCCCTTCAGCATTTTTTGCCTTCTGTCTCCATTTTATTCTTGTTCCTATGCTTAATGGCTTTCAAATCTGTTGAGCATACAAGATGCTTAAAGCCTACACTTGATATTTACTGTTGTAGGACCCACATGGACGAAGTATTGTTCGCCTACAATTAATAGGAAAGACATTTACACTTCAAATATTCTGGAA